AAAAAAAAAGCTGCAGGCGTGCAACATATATATCATCAAACCCACCACCACCAGTCCACCACCACTACTTACACTTACACAGTTACACCACCACAATCCAATCAAAACCATATTCTTCAAAATTCCCACATTCTATTGTCTGTAAATCACTCATCATAATCTGTCAAAAGAATTTTTTTTTTCGCTTTTTCCTTTTATATACCTACATCATATGCTTTCAATGTATAAATGATATGATCATGTTTGTGACTTTATTAGATGTTTTACCATACTATATAGGACTATTAGTAATCACCTTCTCCAAAATCAAGACAATAATATTCTTCTTTTGCTTTCCCCCCACTCCCATATAATCACCACCCATGCCCACCACTACACAAATCAAAACTAGGTCCTCTGAAACTCTACACTCTATAGCATTTTAGCATTACCATCCTTCCCAGTTCCCACTCTCTGTCTCTCCACTCCACTCCACTCATGTCAATACTATACAATGTTTGGGACCTTGGGTGTGTGTCAGTTTCATGGTTAAGCTTCTTACAAGTGGGCTAGCTAGCTAGTAGTGCACAACATCATCATCATGGTACCATAAAAATATTTATCACTGGCAATCTGGCAGGACCAAATTGCTGGAAGTTTGATAATTTTTGTGGTTCTTTGAAGGGTACAATATTATGGCTACATTATATTCCCAGTGTCCAAAACCCTGGTGCATTCTTTATTTTACATTTTTTAGGTTATATGAAGGGGCCATAATATTATGGGAACATTCTGATTTCCAATCTGATTTTTAGTGATGGTTATAGGTCTAAATATAAGTTTGTTTTTAAGAAAAACTATAGGTTATAACATTATTATTCATTTCTATTATTTGATTTTGATGTATATAGTGTAGTGGATTATGGCTGTATTTTATGTGAGAAGTAGCACTCTAGCAAGCTCCAAGCTAAGTTTCTTTCTTCTTCTTCTTGGTATCATTCTTGTTCAATCATTTGAAAAATTCCATGCTCAGGTTTGTTGTCTTTAGTAAGAATTGGGTATTGAAAATTGTTCCTTATTGAAAATGCCATATCATGGGTATATGGTAAGCAGTCTTTATCTATCTTCCAAAATCCTAAAAACCCCAACAACAAAATGTCTTAGCTAAGGGCATATGCATTTTCATTCAAAAACATTTTAGGGGACGGCTTCTTTGTCTTTTCTTGTCTTGACTCCTTTGCAAGTTTCTTAGGTACATGACATCTTCCAAGAATATATTTATCTGATCTGTAAGGTGAACCATCTTTAGATAAACAAATCATCTATATATATATAAACCTTATTATGGTTTGTTAAGCAACTGATTCTTCTTTAATTGTTATTTGATTAAGAAATGTGTGAGGGTCTCAGTGTCTCACTATGTTTTCTTAAATCAAACTGATTATAGATGAGATGTCACTGCTTGAATCAGATATGAAAATTATATGTTTGTTGGATTAAAATTGACTTAACAGTTCTGAAGTAAATGGAGTGATTTCGATTATTTTTTTATTACTGTATATAAAAAATGACCTTAAGTAATATTATATGCAATTGGTTTTCAGAAAATTATACAGTAATTGGATTAATGGTACATGGTGGTCAATGGTATTACAGAACATTTCTTAAAAAGCCTTGTATGCTTCTAAAAATTACAGAACCATTTTGATTTTTGAGAGATAATTTACTGTTTGTATGCTTTTTCTAGCTTTATGCATATCAAAGTGCAATTCATAAGTAGAACTGGAACCAGGCTAATCATCTTATTGCTGCCCAACTGCCCAAGCATGCATTAGTTCTATGGTTCCTACACACAATGTGCTGCTAATCTTACATATATATGTCTAGAGACTCTAATCTTACATATTCACAGTTGAGAGAGGACTAAAAGTACGTAAGATTGGAGTAAAACTCTAATCTTACATATATATGTCTAGAGACTCTATATGTCTGCTAATATAAAGATCAAGCTTGAAATACATCAAGCCAATTTGGAGTAAAACTAAGGTCTAGAGAAAACTAGACAAAGGGAACTTCCTCAAAAAAAAAAACCCTCCCTGCAATGCTAGAATGACTACATTGATAAAGACCCGGTAGTTTGTACCCCCTACAACCGAAATGTACTTCAAATCAATCAGCCCAGCTACTTTTATAATCTGATAGTAGATTTTAGGATTTTATCAAAAAAATATCTGACAGTAGATGATAAAAGTCATCTCTGAACCTGTAGAATTCCAAAGGGGCATTCACACAAACAGGTAACTAGGACCAGCCTTGTGTTCAGAACTCATTCACACAAACAGGTAACTAGATGAAAAAAACTAACCCAGATCCACTAGATACAACTAAACCCAGTTTTTTTGGAACTATACACTCACTACATTTGGAAAACCAAAGAGATAATAGAACAATAGCAAGTTGCAAATAGGCAACACTGAAAGACC